ATTATTACCATTCAGAGTACTACTAATACCATTACTAGTTGTAATTATACTTCTTTCAACAACTTCATTACTGTTAATTTTCTTTACTTTACTAACAATCTTAGCTTTAAACGTTATAATTTTTTTTTCATCATACTCTTCACATACAAGTAGTTCGTTATCATATTCTTTTTCATCAATTATGAGAGCATCGATCTTTGAGTCAAGAGTTTTAAGTATTCAATTAACAATTCATATGATGAATTTAAATCTTCTAGATGTTCTTTACTTATTCTTCTTCGATAATAATTTCTCAAGTTTATTTAGAAGTGTAGTAACTTTACTACGTACAATAGCACGTTTCTTTTTCTCTTTTGCTAATCATCCATTATGTTTCGTTTTCAAAGATCGATACCAAGAACAAATAAATCAAATTTCTTACCTTTCAAAAGGTAATTCCCTTGTCGCGGGTTTCAGACACCAGAAAAAATGTATGGTGTCTCTCTTCATGAGTCATAATTCAAGATCGTTTCGTTTCAGGAGTCAAGGTTGAGTATTGAATTAAAAAATTTCGATCGCAAAATACGTTTCATAATTTTTTTATCTACTAATAATCAACTAATTTAATGCCATTATATGTTCAAGCGAAGGAATTTTTCTAATAAAGGAATTTAATAAAACTCAACATTATTTCCAAAAATATCATTTCATTAATATTTTATAAATGACAACATATTATATATTGTATATATAACTACCATTGCATACTTATAAGTTTTTAAACATTTAATGTAGAATTTATGTTGATTTTATTTTGCCCAGTTTTAATACAGTTTTGAAGTATGATAGTCTTGTTACTAGGATAGCATGAATCTGCTAATACAAGTTTAATACATTTCTTGACAAATGTTTCTCTTATTCATGTAATATAATATATAAATCATAAAATAAGTTTTCTTAAAAATAAATTATTATTGTTTATTATTGGAATTTAAAACAATTCTGTATCTGTATGTTGTATTAAAAATAAAATAATAATGAATTTTTTAATGAAGCATTGATTTTAGCATTAACAATGTAAATATATATATATATACACACACATGAATAAATGGAAATGCAAGCTACTTTTCCTTACAAAACCGCCCATGAATATATACTTCCCTTTAGGCTGATAGCCTTTGCATGCTTTGCCATATTCTATCAATCCAAATGATGCAAATATGCAGAAAATTTTACTTTCTTTGAAAGTTAATACCGGAAATAAAATTCAGTGCATTTGTAAACTACATTAGTTCTCTTATAGCTTGGCATTTAATTGCCAATGATTTACTAGTCCAAACTAAGGCAGAATTCAGATATCGTTCAAATAAAAGAAAATTAATAAGGTCTGATTTTTAGACCTATATATGAAGATTTATTTTTTTTAAATATTATTTTAAGTCAACCAAATTAATTTCAAATTTAAGTAAGTATTCATGCCTTTCAGTAGCATTATTTTTGATAATCTTAAATTAAATAACTGAATGCAATATTTCTTGTTAATAAAAGAAAAGCAATGTTATGAAAGACTAGCGAAGTGGATTTGCAAGTTCTAATTACGAAAGGTCCCATGCTTTAAGGGGTCATTTTTAAAAATACTTAATTAAAAAAAAATATTTAACGTAAAACTTCCAAACTTCACACATGTGGAATATTAATTCTATATATTTTATCTCATTTTATTTTATTAATTTCATAGCATTTCGTGTGACACTAGTAGTAATTATTTAATTAAATTTTATGCAGTTTCTGATCTATGTTTTGATTTTGTTATTAATTACGTTAGTTTACATAAGATTTAAAATTATGTAAGGTACAAAAACCTTCTGCATCTATTAATATATGCTGAAGTGAATGAAATTATGCCAGTGAAATTTTTTAAAATCAAAAACAAATTTCTGTGGAAAATTAAAGTTATAAATTCTAAATGCAAACAAAGGAGTGAATTTGAAAGTTATTAAATAAGCCAAAGTGTTGGTCATTTTTTCAGTTTTGCAGAAGAATTTTTATACCTTGCAGAAAGGGAATATGATGTTTGGTTTTGTTAGTATTAATTATTACAACTGAATTATTGCAACACGTAATTTAGCTTAAAATTTATTTGAACTTAATTTTCTAATTTATTTTGATCATGTATATTTCATAAGTCTTTGAAATGAACTTAATTCTCATCCTATTTATTACACAATTTTTTTAAAGAAGAAAAAGTCACATTTGTTTGCTTAGTTGCACACGAAGATACTGCCTCATCAGTGCCGACCTTTCTCACCTGCGACCACAAAACTTTCTGGAATTCGTGGCACACAAAGAGTTCCGAGTTATCAAGAGTGCCGAAAATTCAAAGCTGACCTTAAATCACCACCAACCAAACAGTGAAATAATAAAACATTAAATAGATATATAAGGAAAAATGCATTGGTATTAATACATGATAAAAATTGCAAAATGTCAATACATGTATTTGATTGCGGCACACCTATATCCTACTCATGGCACCCAAAATTTGGTTCTGCGGCCACGAATATTTTCAGAAACTGTTGCATTTTGCACAATACTAAAACTGTTACAAAACATTTGCACACAATATTCATGGTACTAGCCGAGAGCTCTATATAGTTATTTACTATTATACCGCAAACTTAATTTGAAAACATAACACACAACGCACTTACTACTTAACCAGGTCAATACACTAAGACAATATGTAAATTGAAATACACAGAATACAATACAAAAATTAAGTAAACACAATAAAATTTAAAGATTAATAATGTATAGAAGCGACACTGAAGTACAAATAGACAGACATTGATTGTTGTAATCTGCATCTAGGAGGTAACATGTTCCAGCAAAGTTATTCATGTACTGCACTAAACATGGTTGTCATGCGTATACGTAACATAGGTACAATGGCATGCCATCAGTCTCTGAAATTGTCCTAATTTCAGTAGTTGAATATTATCGTATATAGTAAGATACCAAATTTGTAAGGTAGGAATTATGAAAGTTGTTGGTATAGAATTGCCTGCTGTAGCTCCTGTTGACACCGTTTCTGTTCAACAGAATTCACGAGCACAAATGTCCATTACTCGATGAATCTGATTAAATGCGAGCTTACTTCTCTTCAAGGTGTCTGACCACCCGGACCAGTGTGCTTCAGAGGGTTTTTTTAAATGAAATGGTATCGTGAGAGAGCATTCGAAAGCAAAGTGATCCGGATCACCTAGTGTTCCACATCTACAACTGTCTGAAGTAGCTAATCTGAAGCGCCGTAAATAGCTTGGAAATGGTCCGTGTCCAGTAAAGAAATGTGTAAGATGAGCGCTACTAGTGACCAGATTCAGACCAACTTTGGGGAAGAAACGAAAGGTTCTGCGACTTGTGGTGGAGTTGTTCCATCTCTGTTGCCAAATTTCTAACATTCTGAGTTCGGTAATCTTTTTTAAATAGGAAACTGGTGCTTTTAGGGGTGTTACAAGTATATTCAAGTCGTTAGCTGCTAGCTTAGCAAGCCTATCGGCATCTTCGTTTCCAGCAATGCCTACATGCGCTGGAACCCAGCTCAAGTACGGTCGTTGGGACTCGGGAATCTGAAGTAGAGCATCTGTAATAATGTGGACAGAATCCGCTTTGCTGTTGAGTTCTTTAATGGCGAGTAGGCTCGATGCTGAATCACTCAGTATTTTGACTGGTCCTGTTAGATTTTGCTTAATATAATCTAGTGCTGCCTTAATTGCTACAAGTTACTACAAGTGTAGCAGATAGTATTGCCTCGCATGACGCAGAAGCCGCTACCTGTGGCAAGCTCCGTTTTGGAACCATCCGTATAAAGACAAATTTCGTGCCTAGCCGGAATTAAGGGCTCTATGGTGACTTTGTCATCATACTTTATGTCCGCCGGATGTCCCAGAGAACGAGGGGAATGATCCTCGTAATCACGAGCGCGGTAGTGGGTATCCCATAAGATAAAATCTTCCTTTATGCGTAGGATCCGTGCTTGTCCAATCTCCCTCTCCATGACAAGATCCAATGGTGGTAACCCAGCGAGCACCTGCAATGAATCTGTCGAGGTGGTCCTATAACCTTTAGTAATCATGAGGAGTTGGAGACGCTGAATAGAATTGAGTTTTCTCCTCAGGTTTCCATTGAGATGAATACCCCATGCTGAAGACCCGTACAAAATCATACTCGCTGTTATTTTGTGATACCAGATCTTCAACATGTCTGGTCTAATGCCCCAATACATGCCAGTAGTTCGTCTCATGTTATTGGTAAGAGATACTACATTCTGGTGTATATGATGCAAATGTGGAATCCAGTTGAGGCGGTTATCTATGATGAAACCTAGATATTTCAACTGGGAAACAGTCCTAACTGGATGACCTAATAATCTTATAGTTGGATTCCGCCTCAGTGGACCTTTACGCCCTATGAGTGAAATGTTAGTTTTGGACGCTGAAATTTCCAATTTGTGATCGGCTGCCCAATGTGCAAAGAGGTTCAGTGCTCGCTGTACATTCTCCTGCAGTCTGTGTCTTCCAGTGACCCAAAGCAGAAAGTCGTCGGCAAATGCCTGGACTTTGACAGTCTCATCACCATTGTAAAGATCAAATATTGTGTTGGCAACCAGGTTACATAAGACTGGGCCCAGGCATGAACCCTGGGGACAGCCACTCACCCGTCGTCGTTGAAGTTGGCCATTTGGCATTGTTATCTGTATCTGCCGATCAGACAAATAGCTGCGAAGAATCCTGAGGATTTCAATCGGGCACTGAATTCGATCTATACATTCGATCACATCTGGCCACCAGAGTGAATCGAATGCCCCTTGGATGTCGACTGACACGACTGCTGTGTGCAGATCGTTATTTCGGTTATCCTTGATTGTACATATGACACTGTGAAGATTGTATCATATGTGAAGATTGTGTCATATGACACTGTGAAGATTTGGTACTGAAAGTTCAAAAACAAGAACTATGACATTCACGCCCTCTGTCCTGTCTACTGATATTGATGAGGCTCGCCTACGACAACTTGTGGAAGAAGATCAGTATGCAACCACTCGAGAGCTTGTTAAGGAATTAGACGTTAGAGACATCTCCATTAGTCGCGCTATGCATTGCATAAATTTGACGTACAAGTTCAATCGCTGGGTGCCGTATGAGCTGACTCAAATTGATAAGGATAGACGTGTACTAATCTGCTCAGATATCAACGCAAGGACAAAATTATGGGCCGGATCGTCACTTGTGATAAAATTGTATTTATTTCAACATAACAGACGGAAAAGTGAATTGGTCTGCGCCCGGCGAGCCTGTCGGCCACATCGCAAAGCGCAATTTGACTAACAAATAGATCCTGCTTTGTATCTGGCGGGGTTGCTGTGGTATTAATTATAGATTTTGGTAGTCATTACTACCCGCACTTAAGGGCACAGCTTTCGTGATTTGTTTTCTAACTTTTCAAGAATGCTTTTTGGCGGCAAATGTTCGTTACAACAAGAAAAGAATGTCACTCCTTTATCAAGTACAGAATATAGTGCGATAAAAAATGTATTTTATGAACTACTCTTAAATATTTACAAAACGAGATACATTAAGTACACTATACAAAGTAGATGTGCACCTCGTATTTTGGTTGCAATCGGCCGCGCCAAACGTATATAAATATATTTATATATACATCCACTCTGTTACCCGGCTCAGTGATCTCAGTAACTTTACTCTTATATGTTTGTAAATTGTACATTTTTTGCTTTAAAAATGATTGAAATATGTTGTTTTTATCTTCCGGTTAAGGTTTTTATACCTTTTGTAATTCTGGAAGCAATATCTGTACAATTATCAACAATTTAAATGCTGTTTAAGTGCGGTTAAGTTTTAAATAACATGGCGGACATATTTGTTTACATCTGAAACAGCAGAATTGTAGATTTGTTGCCAATCTACAGAGACTAAGCTTCGCAACACAAAAATAACGCTAGTAGTAAGCCCCCGTAACTCAGGGTGAAGGAAGTGACGTCACAAGGGGGCGTGGCCTCCGGCCATTTTGAATTTCTCCGGAAGTGACGACACCAGCGCCAACTTGTATCAGTTGATGGAATGACATCGTCAAAGTTTCGTTTTTAATCTATGGCAACAATCTTTTGAAAGTTTTTACTTTTTGTGGCAATGACACTATTTTTTATGTTTGTGGCAACGGTATCTTGAACTACGTGTTTGGCATGATATCCGTTTTATTTTATTATTTTAATTATTTCGCCTTTTTAATTATTTGACACGTGGTTAATTATTTTTAATTATTTAGTATGTCATTAATTTTAATTATTTACTCTCTTTTTAATAAGTATTTATAATTATTTACTACGTTATTATTTTAATTATTACCTTTAATTAAATTTTATTGAATTTAATATTATTTTCCCTGAAGTTTAAAAATAACTCCATGAGCGGGATTCGAACCCGCAACCTATAGCATGGAAGGCGATTTCCCAAACCACTATGCCAGGGAGACCTTACAAGCAAAGTCACATTATCGCGTTGAGTAGAAAAACAACCCTGACGTCACTAGGCTGGGGGAAATAGGCAAACGTCATCTCTTTCACGTTGCAGCATGCCGAAACCGCTTCACGCTTTCTACATCCGCCGTGGCGAATGTATACAATCTTAAACGACCAATCAGATTCTCGCTAACAATATCTATCTTATTTCAGCCAATCAGCGTTTCTCTTTCATTTTATATCGCCTATATATTCGCTCGCCTTGACGATTGCAACCATTTCTACTCTGGGTTTTGCAGAGTGAACGTTACTTTTGACTTTCTGCCATTTTCTTTTGCGCCATTTCGTTTTTCTACACGATGTCTGCTAAACGAGTTTTTTCTGCATCTAATGTAAGTATATTGTTTTGTTTCTAGTTTATTTTCAGATTACCATTTTTAAAACACGTTTTTTTAATGTGTTATTTATTTATTTTTTTAATTGTTAGGTGTTATTTGAAGATTCCGATTGTCCTTTCCGTGATTCTGATGACGATGTAAGTTTTTACACGTATTTTCGTAGCGTATTTTTTTTTTTTCTTTTTTTCTGAATGTATTTTACCATTTGAGCTTATTTTATTTTGAATGAATCCACTTTTATTTTGATAGTTATTAGATGAAGTGGATCAAATTTTCATGGAAAATCCTCTGATTTTGCCCCTGTACTATCATGTGGGTTCCGGATTTGAGGTAAATTTCCGTTTCGTTATGATTCTGTTAGAATATTTTTATAGAGCTAGAAATGAATGTATTTATTTTTATTTATTTATTTTTAGACTTCTTCCTCATCAGCTCATGGGCCTGTCTTCATTGCTGCTTCGAATGAACGATCGGTATATATTTTTCTTTTTTGCATGATTTATTAAAATAATGTATTTTGAAAATATTTTATTATTACTGAAAACTTATCTTTATTTTTACTTTTCAGATCGATGAGGCGATTGTACTCACAGAGAAGTCTCGTCGACGGAACCATAAATATCAAGCCGAGAAAATTACTTTCCGGGCCAGTATAGATATGGAACGGTTGCCTCTGAATGTACAGGGAATCCCAATAGTTCGAATTCCTGACACCGTTCGGGAATTATTTGAACAGCTCATTCGCCGGACAACAGCCGATTTGAGCCCATCAGACCTCATGTGATTTTGTATCCAAGCAGAAGGATTGGACAAGCCGATTAGCACGTCCCTGATGGAAGTTTCGACTTTAACAGTTGAAAAGATTCTGGCTGCCGTCATGAAAGTGCTGCAGTCTAAAGACAAAATTGAGCTGGATACGGGATTCTCAGTGGACGTTATTACTATCAGACGACCTGTAGGTGCCGGACGAAACAGGAGAGTGGTGAATATCTCCATGGACAGACTGAACAAAAAATCTATTATGTCTATTCCCTATGACGACGAAGGACTGTGTTGCGCTAAAGCAATTGTTTATGCGTTGGCCCATTTACATAAGGATACGATCGCCATCAAAGCCATGCAAAAGCGTGGTCGGCCAGCCCTCGTGAAATGTGCAAAGGAACTTCATATGGCTGCGAATGTGCCTCTAGGCCCCTGCACGTTTTCAGAAATCGCCATATTTGAAGACCACTTGGATGTGCAAATTGCCGTCTTCTCATCGGAAAACTTGAACCGAGTAAGTCATTATTTTTATCTCAAGATATTTCTGTTTTTTAAATGTTCATACTTACAAATATTTTTTCTATATGTTTACATATCATAACTTGATTTTAGTTCTTTTCTTTTTGTCCATACTATGTTTATAAATGAGATTTTGCATTTAAGGGCTTTTTTTTTAATCGCAACTTAATTTTGGTTCCTTTTTTCATTTTGTGGTTCCATACTATGTTTATGATAAAAATTTATTTGGGTACATGAATAATTTTTAAAAAATACTTTTTAAAATTACTTTTAAAAAATATCAGTTTTCAACGCACTGAAAAATTAAATGACTAACAGAGTTTATGATCATTTCGCTGAATACATAGTGAATTTTCTAGATTGTGTTACATTTTTTAGATTATTTTTATGTATGAAATTTATTTAGATGCTAAAAACATAACTTGAAAAATTTTTAGATTAATTTTACTTTTAAGATAAAATTTATATTTTATGCATGCATTTCTTTAGACGCTAAAAATATGTCTTATAAAAATGCATGGTGAATTTTTGAATTACTCTAAATTTTAAGATTATATTTTATGCATATTCACGCATAGAATCCATGAATGTATGCAGTTCGCTTCGATGTTAAAAAATATACCTTGTAAAAATTAAATGCATAGTGAGATTTTAGTTTACTTAAAATTGTTAGATTAATTTCTTATTTTATGTATGCAATTCGTTAAAACTTTCACTTTTAAAGATTTTTATTTTAAGAATACTTTAACTTTTTAGATTTTATTTACGTGTATGCACGAAAGCAATTTGTTTCTATGTTAAAAATATATCTAAAAGGGTTTGATTTTTGAAATTCAAGAGAAAATTTTTGTCTGTGTTTTAGGTGGTGTACAAAGGAAGGGAGAGGTCTCAACGAATCAATTTGTGGCTCCATGATGGACATTACGATGTCATTAAGTCCCTGAAAGGGTTTTTTGCCAGCAAATACTATTGTAATACTTGTGAAAAGCCCTATGAACACCCGGAAGAACATCGATGTGCCAATGCGTGCCCTATATGCCTAAGGACTGATTGCTTTCCAGGCCAGCCTCAGCGATGCCAGGATTGTGACCGTCTCTGCCGCTCCGATGCCTGTTATGCAGCACGCAAAGCCCTCACTGGAAATTAAGAATTTTCACTTTGTGACAGGGTGTTTTTTGAAAATGTATCTTAATGAACAAAGTTAATTATCATGTAATTTTCTCGAAATGGTTATGTTTTAAAAAATATTATTGTCGTTACAGGTATACCAGTGCAGGGAATGCTGCCAAGTGATCCGGAGGCGGGATTGCTCTAAAGAGTTGCATAAGTGCGGAACCACAAAATGTCCGTCTTGCGGCCAGTTTGTCGTGGCTGCTGAGCACCGTTGTTATTTGCGACGTGTTGCTCCGAAGAAGTCCGATGACAAGTTCATTTTCTTTGACTTCGAAACGGATCAGTCTTCGGGGGAACACCTCGTAAATTTCGCGGTGGCTCAGTATGCCGACGGCACAGAAAAAGTGTTTCCGGGATACGCGGCATGCCAAAACTTCTGCGCCTGGCTGTTCTCTACACAGCACAAGGGCTTCACCGTGGCTCATAACATGAAAGGGTAAGTTAAAAATACCTTGAAAGGGTAAGTTAAAAATAGTTTGCATGCTTTTTAAGTACGACTATTTTTTCAATATTATTAATATTTTTTACTTACAGGTTCGACGGGCAGTTCTTGATGGCCTGGCTCCTTGAGCAAGGCACAGCGCCGGAGGTGATCCCTAACGGGTCTATGATTATGAGTGTAAGACACCCTAGTCTGAACATTCGGGTCATAGACTCGTTAAATTTTCTACCGATGGCGCTGGCCAAGCTACCGGGATGCTTCGGTCTCACCGAGTTGAAAAAGGGATACTTTCCCCATCTCTTTAACTCCCGAGAAAACCAGAGTTATGTCGGACCGCTACCGGAGCCCCACTATTACAGCCCGGATACTATGAGCACTCCAGCCCGAAAAGCATTTCTATCCTGGCACGAAGAACACAAGACGGACATGTTCAACTTCCAAGAAGAAATGCTTGCCTATTGCAGGTATATATTTTTTCTTCTTGTTTTATTCTTATATTTTATATTTCGTATATTTATTTTTTTTTCTTTTAATAGATAAGACGTGGACATTCTTCGTCGCTGTTGCCTGGAATTTCGAGCCCAGTTTTTGGATGTGGCGGGTGTGGATCCATTCCAGTAAGTCATTTTCTTAATTATTTTATACAATAATCATAAAGTTTACAGTTATATTCTTATGGAATAATCATGCTCATGAAATTGTTCTTTTTAGATACGTGACCATTGCATCAGCCTGTATGGCAACGTATCGGAGTGGCCACATTCAGCCCAACACGCTTGCCATGGTGCCCACACACGGATACGTGAACTCCACGAATTACAGCCCTGATTCGATCCGGTGGTTGGACTTTGTTGCTGCTTCGGAAGGCATAGCCATTCAACATGCGTTGAACGGTTCCGGAGAGCACAGAGTCGCCAGAATCTCGGTAGACGGTTTCTGTCAAGCAACGCAAATCGTCTATCAGTTTCAGGTAAGAAAATATAACCATTCATTTTCCATGTGATTCTTTTTTAATGATTTTACACTTTTAACCTTTAATTTACATGTGGAACCCTATTCATATATTTGTATTATTTTAGGGCTGTTTTTTCCATGGGTGTAGTTCGTGCTATGACGGGGATGTCATTCACCCCTTAAAAGGAGTTTCCATGGCAACGTTAAGAGAAAAGACAGAAGAGACCACCCGAAAGCTTCGAGCCCAGGGTTTCCACGTCATAGAAATGTGGGAGCATGAGTTTCAGAGAGAAAAAGAGGAAAATCCAGATCTCCAAGCTTTCCTGGATCAACACCATCTGAGGGACCGGCTCAATCCTCGCGAGTCATTTTTCGGAGGACGGACCAATGCCCTCAAATTGTTCCACGAGGGAGACGCTAAATATGTGGATTTCACATCCCTCTAATCCATGGGTTCGTACTTTTTATCATTTTAAACCTTTTCATGAATGATGTGTTTTCTGATTTTTATGTATGTTTTTATGATGTGTTTTTCTGACTTTTTCTTTTATTTCACAGGTGAACAAGTACTGCGTCTACCCCGTGGGGCAACCTGAAATCATCACGGAAAGCTTCGAGGATGTAGAAAACTACTTTGGACTCGTTCAATGCCGTGTCATTCTTCCTCGGAACCTTTATCTTCCGGTACTTCCATACCGGTACCATCTGTTTGTAATGATTCGGGTGTACGTTCCGAAAATATCTTTTCGAAAGCGGATTTGATGGACACAGATGTTTTATCTTTGAGAGGGATAGCCCAAGTGTATTTCGAAAGGCTGTCTATACAGGTCAGCAAATATTTATATCCATCATTAAAAGACCCAGGGATTGCATATTCACTAAATCAGATTGAAATTGCTCGTTTAAGCCTCCTACGATGACTCTGTTCCTGGGAAACTTGTGCCTCAAAGGCTTGTGCAAAGTATAAGAATCCTTGGTTTGCAACCATTTCTGGATGTCTTTTGTTTTTACGCGACCTTTTAAAGCACGATACAAAGCAGCAACACCCCGAAACTTGCGGGGACCTGTGGATCCCGATAGGTCTGAGACAGAGCTGCGTTCATTGCAACAGTTGTTATGATCTAAGCGTACACTGATATTCATTTATATATGTTTAACTAGAACAGGGAAATAATGCCAGAGTTTCTAATAAGTTGCCTATATAAAGAAAATATTAGAAATTAGGAAACCTATATTAGAAAATAGGTCTAACACATGTACAAGAGAGAAAATAAATGCTACTTAACATCTCAAAGGTTGAACAAGTAATGATATATATGTTTAAGAACAACCATATTTATACTCTATAAAAATCAATAGGTTTGTACTCAATATGTATACTTAAAAATTATGCAAGTGTTCATTACAGATTAATTCTTTTAAATAAGGTCTGAACCTGGAGACAGTCATGAGATCATTGTAAAACAAAATAAAATTTTATTGAGTATCCTAATTAATTTACAAATATTCATAGTATTCAATACCTAAGACCCCATTGGTAGTACAAAATGTGTTTCTTAGTTCATCGAGTACATGGTTTAAACAAACAGATTTTAAAAAGACCTTGGTAATGTAGTGAGTAGGTTTCAGTAACATTAAATAGGATTCTTCACTCCAAATATTTCCGTAAAATTGTCTGGCGATGTCAACAGCATTGAATCTCAGAGCAATGGCATTCACAGTTTCTGTTTTATGAACAAGTTCTTCACAGTCTATGCGCTTGGGATATTTTAGTTCTTCTTGTTGGTTAAGAAGCTCTTCAAGCGACATCTTTAGAATGGTTTGGAGGCGTGCTCTTCCCATAGAAATGTCGAAGGACTGGGGCAGATTTTCCTCCTTAACAGGTTCGTCGGATATGCTTTCGTAGGCTTCACCAAAGTTCATGTTTTGATAAACGAGATTGGTGACAATGTCGCTGATACGGCTAAAGTTGATAATAAATTCTTCCCACTGCGTAGTTGTAATGCTGAGGCTACTTTTTTCATCTCCTTGAGCAGAAAGTTGTTTCACAGTAAAGAGGGTATCCTTATACGTGACCACAAAGTTCTTGGGCAACTCCAGATTTAGTGTCAGCAGGTCTTGTTCCTCCACTGTCATGTTGGTTGCGAGAACATTCAAACACCATGGCTCAAAGTTCACTCCACGTCTTGTCGGATAGTAAGCTTTACATATTTTGGCATACTCTCGGATGTGCACAGTCACTTTCCCTGGTGTAAATGCTGAGGTTCCCACAAAGACATTGTTTCCCATGTGAGTGAGCTCCTTCTGGAATAGCCTGTCTTCGGTGAAGAGTCCTTTGCGCTGAAAAAAAAATAAATCGGTTAGTATATAATACATAAAAAAGGGGATCACATACAATATCAACTTTGACATATAAACTACTTTTCGCAAATACGTACTTTTTTCTCGAAATGGGATGTTTCTTCTGCTTTTCTTTTGGTATAATGGATATTCCTTGGAACATCTTGGGTGCGGTCTTCATGGCTCAACACTTTATCGTTCAAAGGCATAGGTTCTTTCTCAAATAGGTTTTCCATCTAAAAAAAAGACAAATTAAGCACATATTGCAAATTCAACTATTTTTAAAGATTAAAAAATCTAAAAACAGTATATTCCAAAAAATTACTACTTACTCTTTGTGGTTTTTCGTGCCTGATCCATTCGAAGCGCTGAAGTGATAGATGATTGTCGAAGCAAGAGCAGGTACGTACACTCAGGGCGACAGTAGGAAAGAAATGCGGAACGTTGCTCGGGATAACCTTATATCGGGCAGGAACTCTTTATTTCATGTGAACGGTGATTGGTTAAGAGGCGGTGAGGTCATATTTCAAAGAATCTGATTGGTCGACAGAAAAGTATCCATACACCTCAGCGGATGCATACAACGGTGTGATACGGCAGACGCCAATTTCTAAAACAACATGTCCCAACAAGAAATGGATGAAGTCATTCCAAACACGTGGTTCAAGAGTTCGTTGCCACAAAACCTAAAAATTGTTCGTTGCCACAAAAAATAAAAATTTTGAAACATAGGGTCGTTGCCACAAAAAATAAAAACTTTGAAAAGATCGTTGCCACACCATAGAAAACGAAACTTTGATGATTCCATCACGTGATACAAGATGGCGCTGTTGTCGTCACTTCCAGGGAAATTCAAAATGCCGGAGGCCACGCCCCCTGTGACGTCACTTCCGTCGGCTGAGTACGGGGGCTTACTACTAACGCCTTCATTTATTATTGCGAATTAAATCATACTTAATCCTTTCTGGAATTTTTTCGAGGAAATAAGTGTTTAAGATTCACTTCGTAATTTTTAATGCAGATATTTTGAGTTTTTATGTATTTTTGTTTTGTCGCGAAGTGAGAGCTGAATTAATTGAATGAGAAATACTAAATCGTCTGTGAAAAAACTGTTCTTTCTCTCTGTTTTGTTTGCTTAATTTCTTTCATACATCGTTTTAGCTTTATTATAGTATTTGAATAGAACATGTGGCAACGATAATTCTTCAAATGATATAAATTTTGTGCATTCAGAGTGTCGTTAAAGTAAACAAATATAGTGAATTTTAAAGAGTGCATTTATTCTATTGTGGTTTATGCGCTGTCGACGAAGTAGATTTAATTCAGTCCAATCAATTTAAATGAAATTCAAGAAAAAATGCGTATAATTTAATATTCCGTACAAGGAAGTCATGTGGTGTACACATCAGATTTTTTTTTTATGGCGGCCATTGATGTTTACATTTGAAACAGGAGATAGTGGATTTGTTGCCAATCTAGAGAAGCTTAGCTTCGCAACAACAAAGATTATTGCCAATTAAATCATGCTTAATTACTTCTGGAATTTTTTCAAGGAAATAAGTGTTTAAGATTTACTTCGTAATTTTTAATATAGATATTTTGAGTTTTTATGTATTTTTGCCTTCTCGCGAAGTGAGAACTGAATTAATTAAATTAGAAATACTCAATCGTCTGTGAAAAACTGTTCCTTTTTTGTTTTGTTTGCTTAATTTCTTTTATACATCATTCTAGCTTTATTATAGAACATGTGGTAATGATTAGATAATTCTATTCTTTAAATGATATAATAAATTTTGTACATTATGAGTTATAATAGGAACGAAATATATAAGTTAACTGTTATATAATTATTGGATTATATAACAGTTAACTTAGTTTCCGTTATATAATCATTATATAAGTTAACTTTTATATAATTATTAATACTGTTAAGTGAATCTAGCGACAGAGTGTCGCTATGGTAAACAAATACTAGAGTGAATTTTAAAGAATGCATTTATTCTATTGTGGTTTATGCGCTGTCGGCGAAGTAGATTTAATTCAATCCAAAAAGTTTAAATAAAATGCAATAAAAAATGCGTATATTTTAATATTCCGTACAAGTCATGTGATGTACACATCAGATTTTTTTCATATACTTTAGTTTGTCTAATTCTTTAAACAGTTTTTTAACTATAATCAGGATAGTATTAAATGTTCAATTTAGATAATACACGTTTTCACTTTCTTTCAGCACTTCGATTTCATTTTTTTGTTGTCGTTATCCCAATCATTCTTATCAATGTATCCCAAAATTAAAGATTAAGATTAGTTCCCCATTTCTGTATCCCTAAAATCTGTTTCTGAGCTCCATAAATTACCCCGATGAGATTAAAAATACAGTTTGAAATTTTAAATTCGATTTGGTTACACTAATAATTGCATTTTAAATATACAAAATGGCCTCTCAAGGTCACAAATAATAAAATATTCTAAATTAATCTATATAAATAAAGAAGAATGTTTGTTAAAATAGACCGGTAAAATCTGAAATCTTTTGGATTTTATTTATTTATTAGGCCAAAGGGGCAATCTGAAGGACTATTAATTTCGTTTTGGCATTTTTCGTCAAAACCTTATACGAATGTATCACTTTT